TCGCATAAAAAAGTCTCCAATCTCATATATGTGTCATCCACGTGGTAGTAGCTTTCAGACAATATATTTAGCTGCCGTCATCTGGATATTTCAGCTCATCTGGATGCCGTCAGCAGATGATGCGAAGTGAAAACAATAGAAGTGATTGTTATAGTAATACCAGTATACATATAACAAGCTTATATACCTATAACAATCACTTCTATTGTTTTCACTTTGTATCATCTGCTGACGATATCCAGATGAGCTGTAATAACCAGATGTCGACAGCTAAATATATTTTCTGGTAGCTTTATTAATTTATTGGAAGCGTTGAACATATTTTCCATGCATTTATCAGCTTTTTCATAGATGATTCTGGTAACCTCATTCTGAATTCCTATTGACAACAACGAAGAAAGAGAAAAAAGTGCATACGTTCCAATAAAAGTGTTTTCGGTACTTACTAGTTGCGATTATTGTCTCAAGTTCCACTAAATGATTGAGAAACCTTTTGTCGTTCAGCAATTAATCGAGTACCATGAGAAGAGAAGTGTCAAGCAATGTATTATGTAGTAGGAGCACTCAACATATTCACTAAACAATTGAGCGGTGAATGCAAAATACCAAGCAAATGATACAAATATCGTTATAGAAATTCCGTAAAATACACATCTAGCTATTAAACCATAAGTTTGGTCCCAAACGAGAGTCGAGCGCTATCCATATAAATACATTGTGACGTCACACATCTTACACAGAAACGACATCTTTGTAAAACAGACTAACTACAATGTAAAAGTATAGCGAGAGGGGAAGGGAGTAAATAAAAAGGGGAAACAGATACGTTTGATTTACATTGTAGTTAGTCGGTTATTAATAGATGGCGTTTATATAGTGTGCCCTTATTGCGCTTGACTTTCGGGTCCCAAACATTCGAGTTTGATCGGAACAGTCCCAATCGATAGAAATGCATAGTCAACAAATCGAAATATTTCATAATTAAAATCGCGAATAAAATGGACTTAAACTGATACTCAATAGGTTGAAGTATTATGATATCCGAATTCTAGAACAGCTTTTTACACGTCTCTTCAGTTCGGATATTAAGAAATGACTAAAGGGCCATATCACTTTAATCTAAAAGGAGTCTATACAATTATTTAATCATATTGTACATGGAAACTTCCGAACGAAATACAAATTTAATGTGTGAAATCGTGCAAACATAAGTATATGTTTTCATGGAAAAAGTGAGTAGAACCAATTTTTCTTCGTTTCTATGCAAGAACCAGAATACAGGTTATAATTACTTCTAATATTTGATGAACTAAGAAATAGAAAGGTGATACAAGGGAACAGAGTAATTATTATCTAAATGTTAAATAAGTCCAATCACAATTTTCTTTCTATGAAAAAGAGAGGAATTTTTTAAATTCTTTCTTTTGATAATTTTCGTGCATTTTATTCAAATTAAATCAAACGGAAGTTTTATTTAATTTTAAAATTTCAAATGTCATATATTGAATATTAATAAATGGAAATAAGACATTTTCGATGAGATTTTCCATTTTCATTTCGATGTGATCGTTAACCGAGACAACCCAAACTGAAACAAAAAATTTGTTGAAGCATTCTTATTAAGCAAAAATATTATTCGAAGTAGTAACTTACTTAAAAATTTGCATTATTTCCCGTCTCATTGTTTCGACTCCTTCTCTGCAATAGGGACATCTCGGGCAATGATATGCATTTTCATCGTTCCATTTCTTCCAACAAGAAACACAAGTGTGCTTATGTTTACACGGATAGAGTATGGCATTTTTCTTATTTTTCTTGCATATAGAGCATTTCGTACTTTCTGTATTGATCTCAATCTGTTTTTGTTTTTCTTCTTTTGAACTCGAAATAATTTCGACATTAGCAAAATTACCAACGCCACCCCAGAAAAGATTACGGTTCTTCAACCAAACACCAAATTTGTGTCCACCATTATTCGAATTCAGGGTACCATATACTCCGACGGCGCATTCCTGGCCTGGCCTTACATCAGGTTGAGCAGATGTTGGATCTAAATTTCTCGCTACAGTGCCATTTCCATTTTCATTTAGTTCGGCCGTTATAAAAAGTCGCTTAGTGGATGTTGCAATATGGATGAAAAATGCTATTGCATGAATATATTCAAAGGACCATACACTGTATCAGCCTCATATTTAACGTATACATCAATATCTCCAATTTGTTCCCAAATTCCCATCTCTCTTGAGGTGTGTATTACTTGAACATAATCGGCATCATTTCTCCTAATGGTATCCTTTATTTTTGTTCCAAAGGGAGGAGTTTTTATTGGATCCAAAGCTATTTGAATTCAATAAATAAAACGATGAAAAAACAGTTTTGTGTTGAAGAACATTTGAATAGCAAATATACCCAGTAAATGGCGGATCTTTTTGCCGTTTTTGCTTAGGAATTGACAGGTTCGACCAGCGAAATGAGCACCATAACCAAAACCACTCACATCAACCTTCGATGGGTCTCCAATTTTATTAATTAAGTCGCTAGCCATCTTTGCCACGTATTCAAGCCACTTAACCCACATCCCATCGATCTTCTTTGCAAGAAAAGATTTTGGACTTATTACGTAGGGACACGATACGATACAAATATTGTTGTCAGATGCTTTGAACCATTCTAAGAAAACAAGGTTTTGAACGAGAAAATATCTTGAATTTATTCCTTTAAAACAGATGTTTAATATATTTTAGACGCATGTATTTATTTTTTAAAAGAGATAACAATATGTGTGGGAAGAAAGAGATAAAAACTTACTTGTGGCAAAATTAAATAGGAATCCTATAAAAAAAGAGATAAAACAGTTTAAATTCAAATATAGGTAAGTAACTGCGTGAAGTGGCGAAATTTCAAATAAAAACACTTGAAAATATTATTTAAAAAAAAATCGCCAAAATAACAAAAATATTTTATTGTATCATAATAAAAGGATATTTACCATGTAATACAGCATCAGAATCCGAAACACCATGGAAAAACAACGATAGACCTTTTCCATTATTTAACACATCGATCAAAGTTGATGGAATACTTTTCGTTGCTTTAGCAATAAAAAATTCATTTTGACTGCGGAAAAATTCGTATGAGATTTTAAGAGAAATTTATTCGAAAGAGAATGAAAAATCCATAATTTGGAGTACATACGATGCTGATGTAATGCACGCAAATGTAACTGGATCGCCTTCCTTTTGTCCATTACACTCGCTTAAATATACTACACATACGTAGAACCACACGCAAATGACACTTAATTTGTTTCTCCTCAATCCAAGCATTTTCAACAAAACTTAACTCAAATTGCTTGTTTGACTGAACTTCAATTACTGTACTTTATCATAACACGTAACTGTATATATAAGCAAAATAAAAAATTCGGAGAATTCACGTGTCACTATAAAATAAGCGAAAATTTGAAGAAAAAACGAATGATCGTCTTAAACTTTTTGTTCTCAATGATTAATTTGGATACAAAAAATTCCAGATTTTATGAAAGAGTGACCAATTTTCCATAAATTTTTTGCACACATTTAATATGTTTTACGGCTACAGAGTTTCAAGAGCATGGAAATTTTTCAATTCACATCGTCATATTTTCATAAATACTCACACGTCGATGTGTCCAAATTTAAAATTTTCTAACAGTTGTGTACATTTACGTAGTTTTTTACCTTTAAATGATTGCGTGTAATGAATTGCAGCTGTTTTAGATATGAGAAAACCTAAAAAAATATTTCTATTAAATATTAAAATCATCTATAATTTGTCAATCGATAGATGAGCGCAGTCAATATGATTGTATTGTGTCGTCACATATCTTACAGAAAAACGCCATCTGTGTAAAACAGGCCTACTACAAAATAAAAGTATAGCGAGGGGAAGGATATGAAGAAGAAGGAGAAACAGATATACGTTTGATTTTCATTGTAGTCAGCGTGTTTTACGTAGATGGTGTTATAAGTATCTGTCCAAATTGCGCTTGCCCTTTGTTGTCAATAAACAACCGATTTCATTAAAACGTTAAAAACAATTTAATGGAATTATGATAAAACATCGTTCATAGAAATATTTTTCAATTATGTTTCAATCTAAATTTTGTATGATTTGTAAATGAAATATGTCTCACCGTTATTATTCAGTGGTGAATTGCTTTGATGTATAGCTCCTGACGCTGAATCACTTGGAACATAGTCAGCGTCTTTGATACTGTCGTCATTGTCTTCGTCACTTGTTCCAAGTTTATCGGGGTCGATTTCGTCGTTATAACCAGAGTATTGCTCAGCGCTGCTGCCATCCACAGCATATTAAAATATCTTGCTGAGAATGCGTCGTCCGTCGCATGCGAATGTACGTAACAGTTACATACATGCATTGTCTTCTATACAATCGTTTGAATGTTTTGAGTCACATAATCGTGAAGAGAACAATGCATGCTTGCTCGCTGTGATGTAAAAACTGATACGTACCTGTGGATGGCTGAGCAAAAATCCGGTTATAACGATCTGATTTTTTTCGCATTGACGAGTACAATGAATATAAATCGATGTTGATGCAAGACATTAAACTGGTCAATAAAATTACAAAAAAAAAATGTTTAAGTCAATTCACATTATTCCGTTTTCCTAATATCAGCGACGAACGTTCTGAAGAAAGCTTACTGATCGATGTTAAAGAACTCGCTTGTGTCAATATCAACGGTACATACCCGCAGCGCATTTCATTCGTTCGCTTTCATCTTTTTCTTTGTGGGAATATACAAACCCTAATGAATTGATAGTGCTCGATATTTTTTCCCACAAATGATTTTTTAAATTGAAGGTTTATTAATTCCAACAGTTGTTTAAATAGATGTGAATATTCGGCTAAGTTAAAGAGCTTTTAAATTACAAAAAACAACTCGTTCTTCTTTAAAAGTTTTAAAAATCATTTCTGGTTAAAGCTAATAAACATTAAGTTTATTAAATGTGTAGTGAACCATATAGTTCATTGAAGGGATGATATTTTGATTCCCCTGAGGTTTTCGTGAATCGAATGTATTTTTCAAAGAAACCTCAACATTTTTTTTTGTCTGTATTCGTTTGGTCATATGAAAGACGTTTTTCGTAAACATGTTCAGCACTTATGTGAATCTGAATATATTCAAACATTTTTGGGAACCAGTGGCCATTAACCTTCACGAAATATTAAAGAATGCATACTTAAAAAAGCTTTTGAGAAATATGTAACAATATCTGAAAATGAAAACATATAAAGGCCAATTTTTTTTTGGAGTATATAAGAATCAAAAAAGCACCAATTTTGTCCTATGTGGAATTCTATTTTTTCCATCATAACATAAATGTTTCCCCATTATATTGTTCACTTTCACGCAGAATTCAAATATAAAAGAGAAATCTCTACTTTAAATTCATTCATTTGATATCCGCATTCCGAGATGAATACACCAAATCGAAATCTCTACGTTCGCCGAGATCCATTGCCCAACGAACTTGTCGTTGTGTTTTGTTTCGTTTTATTCTTTATAATCTTGAAGATATTATTGCGTGAAGAGGTTTAAAAGAGTATTGCCGTGTATCTTGGTGTTGTGACTGTGCCTGTGTTTTGTGGGCAAATTAAAATAACATCCACACTTTTTTGTTCCTGTGTAAGAAGAAAAATTCCATCTTAAGTGCAGATTGACTTTAATATTGCTGACGCATCACCAAGTAAGTTCGTTATTGTAATGTATTTCTTTTTTCAAGAGATCAACAAAAATGTTGACAGCAAAAAGTTATTTTAGATATACATTTATAAATAAATATCAATGCAGTAGCAATGTAGACTCAATGCCTACTTATAACAAATAAATTTAATTATTAAAATGGTAGAAAAAAGGAAGTTTCCAATTACCACAATAGCTATGTGGATAAAGGTTCTTTGTCACTATAGTTACGAGAACATTGCAAATTTTGTCAGAACAATTAACTTTATTGTCATGTCAAGTTGTTTTTTTAAATATAGATTAAAAGGGAATAAGATTAAAAAAAGAGAGTTGACGATATTGGGGAAACCGTACAATTCTTATATATTTTGTATTGCTATTGTAAATAACGTTAGACTCATAGATTCAAGTAAATATTTCAACCACAATATACGGTAATATTAGTTGTTGGTAACTTATGAGGCTAGTTGTTTGATCCACACGTTCACTTATAATAGGTGAAATTTGAGTTTTGATAATTTTAGTTGATTTTTGCTCAAAGCAATAATAATTTTTGATAATATTTAATTTATTTCTAACCGCCAATCAGTGATCAATATTTGTATCTTCCCGAGTGGAAAAAAAGTGACTAAGTTACTATTGACTGTAAGTGACTAAAGTTAGCTATATTCATGAATTTTAAAATTTTGTATGGAAAACAATCGACTATAGTTACTCAGTCAGTCAGGCGATTATTTTGGGACGTTTCGACTATCGGGTGACTATGATTATTGTCAACTATAGTTAGCTGTTGCAATTAACCATAGCTTACTTTAATTGATTGAAGTTAACTAAATTTAACTAAGGTTGCTTGTTTTTACAGTCAATAGTCAGTCAGTTTGTCCCAAAATAGTCAGTCACTTTTTTTGTACACGGGTTTGTTTTACTATCCTCCTTCATATGATGTCTGCTAGCTTTAATATTACAGACATTGTACCAAGATATTATCCACCAGCCAAAATATTACAAAGACTTCTCTTCATCTCACATCCTGTATGAACAGCAGCTAAAATATTTCAAACCATCAATATTTTCCTCTCTTTCAGACTTTTACAAAGTCTAGGTGGATAACACGTTACCACACATTTAGTCATAATGGATAGCCCAAGTATACATAGTTCATCTTCATTTATTTTGCAAATGTATAGCATAAATCAACATTAATTATGTTTCACACATACAAACACATACATATGTTTCTCGATGGGTATGTTTTGATGATCATGCGGTTTACGTTCATGGTAGTAAGATAAGGTTTTAAGGTTATGTTCTAGTATTTTCCTTTATAAAATTTCTATAGAACATTCAACAATGCTTTCATTTTGTACATTTTTAATTCACCCTTAGGTTCCATGTCTGGCAGTAATTCCGAAACTCTCATCGATTCCACATACGTACAGTTCAATGATGAAATCCTTTCGGAACATGATTCTGTTCGACCAAAATATCAAAATTTTTAATAATTTTTTTACAGTATATTGGTCATTAATTTTTTGCTCAAATTTTTGTTGCATGAAATTGATGATATGTATTTTTCGAATTTATGTGAGTTCAAAAGCACAAAAACACTCAGGAAAACATATATTAATGACAGATTTATAAAACAAATATATTGTCAATGTTGTATTTTATTATATTATTACAATATTCACCAATTTTTCTCTAAATAATCACAATAAAATATTTATCAGTCAATTCATGGCCTGGAAATGCCTATGTAATTTACATATAAACGAGTGAGACTCAAACATGTTCTTCTTTTTCCATCAAATATACCAGTGGCGCCACCAATTTTACATATAAGCGCATACAAAATTTTCAATATGGCTGCGCCCATGAGAGAGAAAATTTCGTCTCATTCATTTCCGCCCCATGAGTCAATTGGTCGCAAAGCGACACGTTACCAATCGAAATAAAACAGGTTTGTGTAAAATGGGTACTTATTGTGTTTTTATTCTAGTATGGATTATGTGGTTATATTTTTATTCTAAAAATAGGGATGAATCGCTATTGACAAATGTCAGTACTGATTCTTCTTCTTTTTCTGTGTGTAAGTAAACACAATACAGCTGCAACTCACTCACACAATTGTTGCGTTACATACTAAAGTGTCAGTACGACGTCTGAGGAAAAGCCATATTTCATTCAAACATAACCAAGCTCACTCACGTATATGTGTGTGATATAGAAACACGTATCAATTTTTCTTATGTAAATGTAAACGTATACTGTATACGGTATACATGAGTCTGTCATTGTATTTCCGTAATTAGAAATTGTCAAAATGGATGCAGTTGTATAATATTTCATTTTTGTTTCTCATTAAAGCGAACAAATATAAAATGACGTTAGAAAAAATCAAAAGTATTTCCAGCTGCATTTGAAGCACATTTATATTCATTTTTAAGAAAGGGTTAAGATGTTGATGTGTTTATTGAAGTTAAAAAAGGTGATATTAATAATTAGAACAACATTCACTATTCGGGACAAACATAAATAGCTTTTCACTTTCTCTTTTCTAGACCACATTGTAAGAATGGAAGAACAAATAAATTCAACAGAATCAGATGCAACATAATCAAATTTAGTTGAAAATGAAGCTAGAGAGGAAGAGAAAGAAAATAAGAAAACTGTGGACTTTATATAATGTCCAACCCTTGTGGAAATACTTCGACTTCATAGCCGACTATAAATTGACTAATTTGGGACAAAAATGGCTGATATTTCAGCCATTTAAAGTTAACTATAAGTGAATATATGCGTCTTCATGTAACTTGAGTTGAGAAATGTCGATTGTGATCATAGCTAACTACGGTTAACAATAAGTATATGAAATTAACTTTTGTCAACTATGTTGACTATAATCACTTTTAGTTAACTCTGAAACATAATCGACTATATTCGATTTCGGTCATATATTGGTAATTTTAACCGAATAAAAGTGATTAAAATTAACTTAATTTATAGTCAGCCAGTCATTTTTTTTCACAAGGGAAAATAATGGAGTATTTTTTTTTCAAAAGAAATAGAAAAAGTTTCTACCTATTTTACTCGAAACATCATCGAATGTGATAGGCCGAGGTCCAGCTAATGGCGGTAAAACGACTGCATCCATTGTGGCAATGCTGAATCGCGTCGATACAACAAAAAATCATATACAGGTAGTCTATATACTGCCTACAAATGACTTCGCAAGGCAAACGTATGAACTAGCGATAAAAGTCGCCCAATTTTCATTAATTGGCATACGGAATGCAGAACGTAATTAATGACAATACATACATACAATATTTATTATTATTATTATTTACAGATGGGAACAAAAATATGGTGAATCTGTTCGACATGAAAAAAGTCGTTGTTTTTGTCATTGATAAATTATGGAATTAATCGTCGAAGTGCAAATGAGCCATTTTCACTAATATGCATGCCTACATCTGATGCATACCGTATGTATCGAATGTATGCATGTATCCCCATATGAACAGATGCATATGGACAGATGCAGATGCATATATTCTATGCATCGCAAATCGCCATTAAGAAGAGATAGAATATAGACTTATGACTAAAGGTCACAAAGACATTTTTTTGCAATTCGAGGATTTTAAATTGTTATTGTAGTTAATCATAATGATCAGTGGAAGGCTGCATGAAGCCATTGTGAAGTGAATTGAGTAATTTATTTGATATTCATCTTCACAATAAAGGAGTTGGTGAAAAAGTGAGTCTAATGTCAAATTTAAATATGCATTTTAATGTGAGTAAAAGAGACAACCATATAGATTTCACCAACTCCTTTGCGGCTAGTGACTGCTCAACTGACAAAAGTGTGATTTCAAATTCAATAAATGAATTTGGCGGAACAACAATTTGCAGCCCTTCATCGCCATACGCAAAGCGCGGTGGACAATATAAATTGCGTATTCCTCCAACGTTCATACCCGGAACCGCCAAACTTACTTCTTCCGGTACATTTTCGCTACCAATTGTGAATTCGAGATTTTCCACACTGATCACTTCTCGTTGGTTGACTTTCAAAACACCCATCAACTTGATTGCCACTTTTGATAAATCATTCGCTTGTGCGCCATTTCCAACGATGATATCGACATATTGTATACGATCCTGTATAGTTTTGCTGAAAGACTAATACACTTTTGATTTTAGCATTTGTTTCGTTTCGCCGATGGGCTCTCTTCGCAACATTGCACTTCTAAGTAATATCCACTTGATGATACACTGCCGGGTCCATCGACGAAAAGTCTGATTTTATCATTCGCACCAAGGGCCAAATCAAGTCGAACATGTGTAATGTGCAACGCTTTTCCCTCGATAGTAACGGGATTTTGGTACCGAACAATTGAATCTATATATCAATGTAATGTATCAATATAACACCAATCTTACACCAAAACATTTTCTCCACACAGTTGAAAAAAATTACATAGTTCTAGGCGTAATATCGCCTGGTGGAGACGCTCAGGCGAATTTACATCTGGTAACATGTCTACCAGTTGTGTTTTCGTCTAATGCGAAATGTCATTATGTTTCGGTGCATTACGCATGACTTTTGGCCGGTGTTTAAATCCTTGTTTACTGTGATTTCGTTTGTAAGTTTTTAATATATATAAAAAATGTAAAAATGGAATACATTTTAAGGGTGAAATTCCAAAATACGAAAAAATTTATTACCATACGTGAAGATGAATTGAATTGGCGCACTTTTGTTGACAAAGGTGAGTGATTCTCTAGAAAATCGTGTTTGGACTCTTACTAAATTCAGTAAATATTTATGTTGTAGGACTGGCACAATTTGAAACAAAAATTTGTAAAAAAAGTATTGTTTACTTGGTCGACAATATTGGAACAGACATTCCTCAAAATTTATTTGTGCCGATCGTAAAAAACTTCTGGAATGGATCAACTTTTTCATTGAAATTAAATACACACCTAACCTCAACAACAGTGCTGAACTAGTAACACCACAGGCAAGATATTTTTGATTTGCTAAGATAATTTCAATTCTAAGAAAAAATGTTGATTTGTTTTTATATTCATAGCATATTGAATCGTATTTCAAGTCGAAGAATATAAGACATTTTCTTGAATAAGAGGAGGAAGCATTGCGGGGTGAAAGTGATGGCAATGCCACTGTAGCTCTGAATGTGAATAAACGCGTCGAACTAATTCGGCATTTGGTTGACTTTATTGTTGAAAAGTTTGGTTTAAAGCCATCGACTTATGTAAAAACTTCAGTTGCAAAAGCAACAATTATGGTTTTTCCTCGTTTGGAATTTAAAAACAGCAAAATCGGTGGAATCGTTAGTACTGCTGTCTTTTGTTTATAAATACAAACTTATACATATCATTTTCAGGACTTGTTACTTAACAAAGGTGACAAAGGCTGGTTTAACAAAAGATTGAGCTATCTACGAGAAGTAAACAGACAGCTGGAAAAAAATGCTTGAATCGAAGCAATGCAAATCAAACAGTAATTGTTGATGATGAAGCGTCACTTGCTGATGTGGTTTGTTTGAAATCGTTGATTGTATCTGAACAAAATATGCATATTATCATTGAAAAACTGAATTCAACTCGGGAATATCGACAAAACATGCTGCTTGATAAGTCAATTGATTTGAAGGAACATTTTCCATATTTTTTCACACATCCGGATCTGGTAACATTCATTTATTTAATGTTAATGAGATAAACCTTTCAGAATAGAAACAAATTATTCACCGATTTTGTTGGAATTTCAACAAGCGTTCCCAACCATCAATGCTTCTGCTTTTTTGAACACTTGGTCTTCGGTCAGTCAACAGCTTCGTGATATATTGATCACATACTATAAGCAGAAAAATTTCAAAACTGATTGGTCTGATGAACTTGAAAATGTATTGTTGTTACTCAAAATTTTTCCTGCAAATCAAGTGGGGCGCCACGCCATCGCATCAGCTCCCACATTCAAAAAATCGGTTGATCAATTCATCACCTATGAGCCGGTAAGATGTGAAAAATTTTGTTACAAATAAATGCGAAATCAATAATTTTGTTTTGTAGTCAAATGCAGTTCCAATGCCAGCAAAGAAAGGATTTCCACATATTGTTGCGTGCGGTAATTCTATGAAAGACATCAATTTGTATTTTATACAGCTTGAAAATATAGTGTTTCCAGTAAGTTTTGAAAGTCTTTGACAGTTTGACAAGCAACACTTGTTTTGTGCGCTACTCCATAAATTCTTCGACAAAAAATTAATTTTTCGTGTTTTCAATAAATTTTCTTTGAAAATATTAAAAATAAAGTTGTTTTAAGTGAGAATATAGTGAAGATTAACATTTTCACACAATTTTTTGCGATTTTACTAAAAAATCGGTATTTTGGTTGCCGGTAGTGTGTCAAAAGTGAAGTTTTTGCGACGTAATTTGTGCGAAATTTTCCACCAGTTGACCCGGCGACTTTTATTGTAACTCAATTTTGGACTATTTTCTGGTACGCTGAAAGTGTTTTCCGGAAAATTCGGACTGAAATTGCATTGTTTTCGACAAGTTTTTCCACCTGTTGTTCTAACCTCACTTTGAACTAACTTGTTGTAAGTACATTTCTATTTTTCATCGGTTGACGTACGCCATCTATTGACGAATAGGAAGTGTCTAAAATAGACGTATTGCAATTAACTCTCTACGGTCTGTTTTTTAGAAAGTTAACCCATCAAGGGTCTTAGAGAAGATTTTTTTTTTGAATTTTTTCTTCTTAAATTTTAATTGATTTTCCGAATATTCTTATATTTTTGCGCTTAAATTAATATTTTCCGTCGGAAAATTTAATCGGGCTTGAAATTAATTAAAGTTTTTCCTGAATTTATATTTAAAATTTGATATATATTTTCGGGATTTGAGAATAATTCTTGGTTTTCAAGATAATATTTCTGCAATTTTCAATATTTTGACTCAAATTCATTGATAAATTCGGTATTAAAATAAATTTTCAATTATTTTTCGAATTTTAGTGATTTTCTTTCTCTATTATTTTCATTTTTACCTGGGATTTTGTTTCAATTTGATTCAAATTTAAAGCAATGGAACCAAATATGACCAAGAAAAAGGGCGGACACGGGGAAGGTTCGAAAGAACGTCCATTAGGGTCTGCCCTGTCTAAGTCTGGAGCCAGTGCTTCCCAGGCACAGGTTTTAATGACTTCCTCTTCTTCTTCTGGAGTGGGTGGGGGTTCCTACTCATCACTTACAGACCCTAAGGCCACCAGCAACCTGATCACACCGGGGGGCTCGGAGGCCACTGGGTCTGAGGTGATGGGAGAAATTCTCATAAACCAGCCACCAGCATCTTCATCGGCAACCAGCGGTCAGAACCTTCCTGGTAGCTTGGGTAAAACCCTTGGAGATGGTGGTGAAAAGAAGAAGAAGAAGAAGAAGAAGGGTGTCAAAACACCCGCTGAAAGCCATTCAGCAACAATAATACGACGAGAACGTCGTGTACGTAATAAAGCCCGAGAAAACATGGAGAAATCCACTGTGACTACCGGGCTTTGTTCGAATTCGATGCCAGAGCTAAGTGGGACTCCACAATCGTCGTCCACTCCTACCAGAGCTGGACCATCTGTTGGTACCTCACGGGCTCTGGGTAGGGTGCAACAACAGTCCCTGCCAGACCCATCGTCGGCATCGAAAAAGCGTCCTCGCCCACAGGAAGGAACTCCACCAGAGCTGAACGCTCACAAACGGTTGGACGTAAAGGAGACCCCAGAAAATGTGGCATCGGGGAAACCCACCTATGCCCAGGCCCTGGTAGGATCTTCTCTGGAGATGGCGGTTGTACATTCCGTCGGCCAGGACAGTTTGTCCGAAATATCGCATGACTTGTTCACGCAGATATTGAAGACATTAAACGTCATCATGGTCGAGGATGTACGAGCCGGCTCCCAGGCACCAACGTTTGAGAGTACCACCCGCACTCGTGGAGTTGTCAAGATTGTGTGTGATGACAAGCGCTCCAGTGAATGGTTAATGGGCGTGGCTGGAAGACTGGCTACCAAGCTGGAACTTCCTCTTATTGTCTGTGAATTCAGTAAGATACCACGCCCTCCGCTGTTCACTGGTTTCTTTAAACAGCTTGAGCATTGGGAAGATGCGGAGATCTTGCTGAAATCAGCAAATCCCCTACTCGCACCAATCTCATTCAAACTCTTAAATTCGAAAAAGGAGGCAAATGGCACTCAGTTCACTGTTAGTGTCAGGCCTCGGGACCGGGCCATTCTCCTCGAGAAAGGCCCAGAGTTCAAGGTGGGAATGGGTAAAACTCGCCTATATGAAATCACTCGTTCCAAAAAATCAGACCCTGCTGAAAAGAAAGGGACTGACCACATGGACGAGGTAGTTATTTCATCGGAATCTGATTCTGAATCTGGTTCTGAAATAAATACAGAAGCGACGGATGACCTGGAAGCAAAATGTGACGATTCATATCGGAACGTTGATGTGACTGTGGTTGAACGACAATATTCTGACACTTATATGGATGAGTTATCTGAAGAGGGCGGACAGGAACAAGTAGAGATGTCTACAGAGACTGCTGCCCTATCGGACACCGCATCCAACACTTCACATGGCCCAGAAGCCATGGATACTGGGGGAGTTGCGGACGAGCAACGGGAATCCAGAGGCATCGACTGATGCATCTGGTACCCGAAGCTCTCTGCTTCTCTCACTCTCTGAACTGTAATTTGATATAGCCATGGCTAATACAAATAACAGTTCATCCACACACGCTGTATCTACAGCCAGCAACTCAAATCAATTGAACGCGCTGGCATGGATTAGCATACATCAAATAAATTTGCATAAAAGCAAGGCAGCGACTGCACTTGTGTGTAAGTCAATATGTGATATGCAAACAAAAAAACAAAACTCCATCTTTTTGATTCAAGAGCCCTGGGTTGTCAAGAACAAAATATGTGGCTTTGACACCGAAAAGATGAATTTATTGTATTTGAATCAGTCGAACGAGCCCAATAGATCATGTATCGTTGCTTCCAAGGAACTGAGCTTGACACTTTTGCCACAGTTCAGTTCACGGGACACCACAGCAGTGAAACTGGGTAAGGGCAGTACTCTTGATTCAGATGTGATACTAAGCTCTTTCTACTTGGCAAACCCTTCGAATGAAGATATTCCAGGAGAGGGACTTAAAGCATTATATGATTATTCTATCAACCGATCACTTCCAATAATATTGGGGGGTGATGCAAATGCGCATCACACGGTCTGGGGAAGTAGTGACACAAACCGTAGAGGTGAGTTACTTCTCGAATATATTGCAACGACAGATCTTTTGAAGATTTCGTACCATATTTCATGCCCTGAGCGTGAAATTAAGATAAAGAACAATTATTGGTGGAATACGGACCTAAAAAGGCTAAGAAAGGAATCCAGAAGACTACTTACCAGTAAAGGTATCGAAGTGTTAATAAAAGTTTTCAATTTCACCTATATGGATCGGTATAATGTGCCGAAAAAATAAATTTGTGAAAATAAGGGGGGCCCAATCGAAATAGGGGAGGCAGGGGAGTACCCCACCATGTCAAAATTTGGTCAGATCGAAAAATAATGTACTACAAAGTTGTTCAGAATGACGAGAGAAATTTTCTAGGACCCCTGCCCTCCAAGTCCCCCCACCCCCCAGGGAGGTCGGGGGTCATAACTCCTTCACCCATGACTTTTTTCAACCGAAAC